TTTTTTTTTTAAGTTTTGGTATCTAAACAATATTTAAAAGAGTAATGAAAACGTCATATTTTCTTAAAAAAAACATTAAAGTCAAATATAATCGAAGCTTGTATATACTTCAACTGTGCTTGAATATAGAGTATCCGTTGTGTATCGATTGAGTTAAGAGTGACGTAATTGGCAAGAAATATTGAAAATAATCCTTTTACAATGTGGTACGAGTGTCTTCCACCGTTAATGATAATATTAACATGTACGACAATACCAAATTTCGTATCCCCGTATATAACCAAATTTTTTACTGGAACGGTAAGTAGTTTTAGTAACCTAACCTGTACATGGTAAGGATTATATAACGAATACTTTGTAAATTTTAAACTTTGTAAGTTTTTGTCAATTTCTACGTTTTCCCCTTCTGTACTAAAAAATGATGTTTATGATAAATAAGTTATAAAACTTTAAGTCATTGTATAATAAACAATTTCTGGGCAAATTCTGTATAATGCACATTGACTTTGTATATATAGTAATTCTTTTATATTTTATTGTTACAGCCAAATCTAAGAAGCTACACTAATTTTCTTGAACAGGAACTGTTAATGAGAGATATAAAACTAAGTAATAATTGGTATATATATAATGTAAGTGATCTCGCTGTGTTATTATATTTGATAATCAATAAGCATTCATGCTATTTGTATTTATATTATTTAATGAAAGTATATTTTAAGAAGATTGAAGTATGTATTTGATACACTTAATATCTTCTTTTTAGGGTTTGGAGGTGATTCCTGATAAATAAAATTGTAAATGTATTTGTACAATATTAATTGATCTTTATTACTGTAGTAAAATTGATATGTATATATGACATCATAAAATACATAGTGGAAAAATTATTTTCTGTTTTAGTTTCTTAATATTTCTCAATTTCCAATAAAGGACCTTAGTTGAATGATAAAATTTTTTAATATTTGATACTATTAATAAAATCCTCATGAAAACCTCTGAAGAATGCAATATTAGGTAGAAATGGGTTATCCTTTTAAAAATCGCGGTTACATTTGTATAAAATAAAATTAAGCTTAAAATTTAAATGAGCTTATCCTTAAAAAGTACTATATATAATAATATTTTATCACTATAACGAAACGTTGTACAAACAATGAATTTCCTGAATTTTTAGATTTTCTTGTAATGTATTGTAACTTAATGTTGAAGAAAAATTTGTTCAGAATTTCGAAGAGAAAATAAATACTTTGCAACTGTTTGGTAACCGTTTCAGAACTGTATGTATCGTATATTTCATAATCCGTTATTGTAATGAAACCGTCCTTTGTGAGCAACGGGTACGCGAAAAGGCTCATATATTTCTGATTGTCGAATATTGAGAACAAAATTCGCAAACTCGACTGAAAAATTAATAGCTGCAAAGTTGTTCTGTCGAAAGGAATATTATTTTGCTTTCGTGCTTAGCTAAAGTAAGAGTAAAATTGTCCACTTGTCAGGGCAAGCAAGAAATGTATTTCCGGTTATTCATTTTCCTGGTTTACTTCCAATATCTTCGACGTACCGAAATTCCCACTATCTCAGGTAAATTCCAAACACGGTGTGAGAGCCTTTTAAAGAGAAAGAAGCTCCAGGTGTTCTAGACGACGTTGTTCTTTGTTTTCACGCCATTATGGCTCTGAACCCCTCGAAAATATATAAGATCGACCCCTATATGTAGACAGAGATAACGAACAATAGAGAGCCAAGGGGGACAGGCAGCATTGAACTGGGAGTATAAAAAGCATTACAGGTATACATATGTACACTATACACATGTGCTTTCTCGCCAGAAACGATGATAAAAAACAGGAAAGTTAACAGTGATTATTTTACTAGACTAATTATACTGTTACACAAAAATTCGTATAATTACAGGAATATTGAGAATAAAAAAGAAAAGCTTTTCTGACATTTAAAATTTTTTGTCATAAGGAAATATAACATATCGAAACAATTATTTCTTCTTGATAAACTCGTTGTTAAGTTATCTCTATAAGAACATCGTACACTAATATCGTATCTAAATCGCTTTGCTCGAGAGTAAAAAAATTCTTATAGATATAAAATAAAAGAGATATCGTTTACAATAATTGTTATTGCATTGAGTCATTGATTACGTGCACGGATGGATATAATCTTTGCTCGAAGATAGAAGTACTTTAAGTGCGGTCAGGTATATACTTTAGTTTAACAGATCTCGAAATATTTCGCAAGTCGGTATAACAAATCCGGTCACGAAATCATAATTTATTGATTCAGTTATTCATGTTTGCCGCGTTTACCAGGTTCTTTCGAGCGATCGAGTCAGGTCCTTCGACTTGAAAAATTAACCATTGACCGTGTAGATCCTCTGGATGATTTCTGACGTGTCAAGCGACGCTGATCCCTTTTCTCCCGTAGTGTACCGTCACCTAGAAGGTTAATTAACTGTCAGCTTTTATCCGTAGCGTGCTTCCAATATCGACGACAATCACGGGGAAAACTGGCAGGAAAATCGGTCCTGTTCGATATATCGCTCGATTGCCTATAGCTCAAGCTTGGAGTTTGCCTCAGATCGGTCTTCGGTCTGAACGAGTTTGACCGACCTCGCAGTCGAGTGCGAGACGCCGCACGAGTAACATCGTGTTTTCTGCCGCGATCCTTTTTCCTTCATCGTTGTTTCGTTGATTTTGTCATTCATTTTTCTTCGAAATTTTGATCAATCGATCATTTCGAGATCGTTTGACATTAAAGAACAACGAAACAAAGGAAACAACGTTCGAGCGACCATCGATTTGTTTACGCGGGAATTCTTAGGGAACCGGGTCGAATTGCAAGCACATCTGTCCGGAACTTTATCCTTCGAGCCCGGTGGACTCGAATATCTCTACGTAAAACAACTACTAGATATAGGAAGAATTGTCTGAATTATTGCAAAGTTGCGGCGAAGCGCAATATATTACAACAATTTCTTCGACAGGATTGTTGTCGCCGTTTTATGTTTTCCCCCTGCGTTACCCTTTCTCGTTACGGTGAATTGTTCCGTTAGATCTTAAAAAAGGGAGAGAAAGAGAAAGAGGGAGAAACAAAGAGATCGGTTGCGTAGCGTATTTAGTGGAAAAAGTGTATCGAGGAAAGTTTCGGTTCGGCGTTCACGGTCAACCTGTTAGTCATGTGGGAACGGTAAAAAGCGCTCGGGCAGGAACTCTGGAAGAGCAGTTTCTCGGAAACGGCCGTTGGAATGATAATAGCGATGTAGTGAAACCTGCTTCTCGTCGTGGGCAAGGATACGCGCTCATCCGACGATCGTCCCTTCTGATTGCTTCTGTGTCTTGTGATGTTTGTTTGTTCTTTTGCGTTCCGTAGTACGTGCAAAATGATATCGTGTCCCATAACACGATACATTTGTAATTTTGTCCACGCAATATCACTCTAAAGCACCACTAAACGAACGAACGAAGAGGAAAAAGGGAAAGAAGTAGAAATTAGCGGAACGTTAGTGACGAATCATCGTTAAGACGGGTAAGTGAAACGCAGAAATTACAATCCCCTGTTTATCAACCGATACATAGACTTCTTTCTCTCGAGTGTGAAAAGGAGTGCGTTGCAGACTGCTGCACGTTTTAAACGCACGATTGATGTTCGGTAATCGCTTACTTTTGTTCTACGAGCGTCTTCCGTTGCGCGGTGATGTTGAAATATCCAGAATAAAGCGTATCGCGTCGCAAAAGAAATTGCGACTCGTTATTTCGTGAAAAATCGATCGTTCGTCTCGCGTGTGTATGTATGCCATTTTCCGTGACCAGATCTTGTACTTACGAAGCGATACAACGTGTTTCGCGACTTGTTTTTTTTTGCACTTAATATCTCAATATTTTCGATCCAAGGTCATCGGAATCTTACATATTTTAGCAGCTCACCAGTTACGAATTTATTACGCATGATTATGACTCCTTTTACTTTCGTTTGCATTATTATGTATCCCTTCTTTCCCGACATCCGTGGGATAATGCAGGATAGGTTATGCACGTACAAATATTTAAACTCTATTAGAATGCATTTAGGAAAACGAAGGAAAAATAACCGCGAAGTGTTCTGAGATTTTTTCGTGCTACAAGCGGCAGAGATCGGATCAAGATCAAGTTAAATTACTTTTCCTCGAATACTGTAGCAGACGGGTACCGTGTGTTATCGTCAAGAAAGCTAATCTCCGTTCCTGAAAGTTGAGAAATCGCACTCATGGTGCGCTCTCGTCCACGGTTTTCCTCTAACAGTTGTCTTCTGGCCTGTCGTTTGTTATGTAAACACACGGTTGTTCCGGGAACGGGTTCGGGACAAATATAATCCCCGTAGACGATAAAAATCCTGAACTATGAGAAACATCTCACTGAAGCAAGTTTCGAGCAAGTTTGAACTGTGTCGAACGAAGATCGTCAGACAAGCTTTTAATTAAAATAATATTCGCGCGTTAATCGCTTTTGCGCGCTACTCGTTTAGGTAGGTTTGCGTGCGTAATTAAAATTTCTCTCGCTTTCAATTCGCGTTAATTTTTATCCAGCAACCTCCCCCCCAATATATATATGTACTTATGTGTGTATATAAAACGAAAAGATGTACTTTTCTAGGAAATCATACAACCGTACCCTCAGATTTTCCGTTTCAATTCGACGAAAGCATAGATACATGAACGTATTTCTCTGTCGTTTGCGTAATGACGAGAAAAAACCTAATGCCACCGTATAGTTATTAGGCTGTGTTCGGCTCCTCGCTTTCTAATCTTCGTCGAGAGACAAACGTCGTTGGAAATTTGACGTTATAAGCACGTTAACCCTTTGAATGTTGAAAACTCTACAGCTAAACGTTTAGTATATGTAGATGATGCGTGATGTGTAAAGACTATTGGCGCAATGGTCATTTATGCAGGATTTTCATTCCAAATTTTTTATCAATTTATAATTAACACATTGGCGATGGGGCTCTTAGGGCAGCGCTTCACATGTGCACGGGGTGATTTCGCGTCTTTTCTTTCAATCGTCACTTTTCAACTAATTATTATTTTTCAAAGAAATTTTCAAGAATGTAGTAAATTACTTTTTCGTAAAACGTATACAATTATTGGAATTCGTGAAACATCTGTCACGGCATTTCTGAGAAGAAATTCAATCATTTGCAGGGTTTTATAAATTTACTTTCAGAGAGATATATGAAAATCTCAATGACGTATTTCGCGTCATTCGGAATCCAAGTGAATACCTGAATGACGCATATGTGCGTCATCCGGCGCAAATGTGTTAATTAGGAAAATATGACACATGGATTTAGTAATTTTTAATTGCGTATTATAATTTTTGATTCCGTACAGTCGTCAGGTAAAACAAATGAAACGTTTTTACTCGTCTAAAAAACAGTCTCAGTCTCTCTGACAGCATGCTCGCTCTCTCACAATCTATGCTGACGAGATTCATTCGACTTGCACACGCATCTGTAGCACTCAGAGAGTCAAGTCGTGTCACTAGGTATGCGAGTAGCGGCAAGAAGATAGTTTCGAATCGGTCGGGCGGTTCGTTGCCTACGTACGTTCGTAGCGTTTCCAACGTGTATCATTGCCACGCACCGCGTACCACCGTGTTCGCGTATTTAAGCACATAATTAAACGACGTTGCGTCATGGATAAATGCAATAATCCTTGCGCATTGGCCGATTTCCCATTCACGGGTAGCGCGAGCGAATAATTGCTTTTGCTTCATTGTGCAACGCGATCAGCTCGCGTTC